TGGGTGCTGTCCCTCAGCTCTTCAGCTCAAGGCTAGCACTCTACCACTTGAGCCACAGCGCCACTTCCGGCTTTTTTCTTATGTGGTGCTGAGGAATGGAACCCAGGGCCTCGAGCATGCAAGGCAAGCGCTCTACCACTGAGCCACCTTCCCAGCCCCGAGACTCTTTTTTTTGGAGGGGGGGGAGTCTGGTCATGGGACCTGATCTCTGGGCCTGGGCACCGTCCCTCAGCTCTTCAGCTCAAGGCTAGCGTTCTACCACTTGAGCCACAGCGCCACTTCCGGCTTTTTTATTTTTGCTTATGTGGTGCTGAGGAATTGAACCCAGGACCTCATGCATGCAAGGCAAGCACTCTACCACTGAGCCACCTTCCCAGCCCCTCCATGAGACTCTTATCTCCAATTAAGCACCAGAAAATTGGAAGTGGTGCTGTAGCTCAAAGTGGTAGAGCACTAGCTCTGAGCAAAAGAGTTCAGGGTCAATGCCCATGCCCTGAGTTCAGGTTCCACAACCAAAAAAAGTTTCATGGACTTTCCTGCCCCAGCTGGCTTTGAACTGCGATCCCCAGATCTCAGCCTCTTGAGTCATTAGGATGCCAGGCTGAGCCTCTGGCCCCCGTCCCGGCGCTCTCTAAGCAGCTTTAGTCTCCAGCTTCTCTCTTCTAGAGGCATTCAGCATGGCTTCTCCCATTTTCCTCTGCAGCAAGAACCTCACCTGGCGGGACATGCAGCACTTGGTGGTGCAGACCTCGAAGCCAGCTCACCTCAATGCCAACGACTGGGCCACTAACGGCGTAGGCCGCAAAGGTGAGAGCCAGGGGTCCCCGGGGGCCGGGCTCCGGCAGGTGGTGCTGGGCAGGCGGGCTGGGTTCTGGGTCTCGGCTGGGTTCCGGCAGGCGGGCACCACACTCTGCTGACTTGCCTCCCTGCCTGCTCCCACAGTGAGCCACTCGTACGGCTATGGGTTGCTGGACGCTGGTGCCATGGTGGCCCTGGCCCAGAACTGGACAACGGTACCCCCCCAGCGGAAGTGCGTTATTGACATCCTCACGGAGCCCAAGTAAGGCCTGGGCCCCGGGAGGGGCGGTGGGGCCAGCCTCGCGCGCCAGTGGAGGGGCCTCACGGCGTCCTCTGCCCAGGGACATCGGCAAACGGCTGGAGGTGCGCAAGAGCGTGAGCGCGTGCCTGGGCGAGCCCAGCCACGTCACCCGGCTGGAGCACGCGCAGGCCCGGCTCACCCTGTCCTACAACCGCCGCGGGGACCTGGCCATCCACCTCGTCAGCCCCATGGGCACGCGCTCCACCCTGCTGGCCGCCAGGTGAGTGCCCGCCGCCGTCCTGCATCCTGCCCGTTCCTCTCCCATGGGCCCCGGCAGTCATCAGACCTTGTTTGGCGAGGGGCTGCGGCGTTGGCAGAGGAGTTGCATTGTCCTGTGGGACATCCCGTGTCCTGTAGTTCTGGTTCCTGCCTGTGTAATGGGCCAGCACGCTGCCCCTTTGGGAAGTGTCCGTGCCCCCCTGGGATTCCTGGCTAAGGATGTCCGTCCGTGGGGGAACGGGAGAGCCCCGGGCACGTCTAGCCTGTGGTTGGCGTGGCCCGGGGGGGGGTGCCCAGGTCCGCAGCCACGCGAGCCCCATCTGGGTGCAACGCCCCCTCTAGGCCGCACGACTACTCTGCGGACGGCTTCAACGACTGGGCGTTCATGACCACCCACTCCTGGGATGAGGATCCCTCCGGCGAGTGGGTCCTGGAGATCGAGAACACCAGCGAAGCCAACAACTACGGTAGCGGGGGCCGCGGGGGCTGGCCTGCCCAGTGGGGCCGGTGCTGGGGGCGGGAGGGGGTTCCCAAACTCACCACCTCGTCCCCTGTCCCCTGCCATAGGGACGCTGACCAAGTTCACGCTCGTGCTGTACGGTACCGCCCCCGAGGGGCTCCCCGCAGCCCCGGAGAGCAGCGGCTGCAAGACGCTCACGTCCAGCCAGGCCTGTGTGGGTCAGTCGTGGGAGCTGCTGGGGGGGGGGGGCAGGGAGAGCACGTGCCTGGGGACTGCGGGTCCCCAGCCCAAGGCCACGTCCGCCTGACGCTGCCCCCGCTGCCCTCCCTCCCCCCGCAGTGTGTGAGGAAGGCTTCTCGCTGCACCAGAAGAGCTGTGTCCAGCTCTGTCCCGCCGGCTTCACGTCCCAAGTCCTCGACACGCACTACAGCACGGAGAACGACGTGGAGACCATGCGGGCCAGCGTCTGCGTCCCCTGCCACGCCTCGTGTGCCACCTGCCAGGGCCCCGCGCCCACGGACTGCCTCAGCTGCCCACGCCACGCCAGCCTGGACCCCGTGGAGCGGACGTGCTCTCGGCAGAGCCAGAGCAGCCGCGAGTCCCGGCCGCAGCCTCCCGGGCGGCTGGCGGAGGCCGAGCCTGAGCCGCGGCTGCAGGCCGGGCTGCTGCCCTCCCACCTGCCTGAGGTGGTGGCCGGCCTGAGCTGCGCCTTCATCGTGCTGGTCTTCGTTACGGTCTTCCTCGTCCTGCAGCTGCGCTCCGGCTTCAGCTTCCGGGGGGTGAAGGTGTACACCATGGACCGCGGCCTCATCTCCTACAAGGGGCTGCCGCCCGACGCCTGGCAGGAGGAGGGTCCCTCCGACTCGGAGGAGGACGAGGGCCGGGGCGAGAGGACCGCCTTCATCAGAGACCAGAGCGCCCTGTGACGCGTCCCGCGACGCGCCCCGCGCTCCCCGCCTCGGGCACTTTTTAACTCACCAAAGTATTTTTCTATCTTGGGTCTGGGTTCGGACCGTGGCTGGGCATCTGGGGGAGCTGAGATCGCTTCCCACCCCAACCCCGGGCCCACCCGGAGCCTGAGCCAGCGGGGGCAGGGAGCTCGCGCCCCCCCTTCCCCCCCCCCCCCCCCCCCCCGCGCCCTCCACGGGGACAGAGGAGTGAAAGCTTTAGGGCAGCTTTCCAAGGCTGAGGCCCCACGGAGGCCTGCGGTGCCGAGGGGCGGCCCTCCCTGGGGCTTGGGATCCAGGCTGCAGCTCCCGCCCCTCCTTGCCCCTCTAAAGCAATAATGGCCCCCGTCCAGGGCAGGAGGAGGCGCCTCCCAAGCGCTTCCCCACCTGGCCCTGGCTTGCACCCCGGTGAGCCTCCAGTGGCAGAAGCCTCGAGCAGAGGAAGGGACCAAGGCAAGGCAGGTGCTGGGCTCCGGGCTGCCACCCCCCCGGGCCGCCTGGCTGGCCGGGCCGCGCGGAGCCCCCGGCCCCCGAGCACCCTCCCCTCGCTGGGGCCCAAGCCCCTGTTTTCTGAGCCCGGGGTGGCTGGGCTGTTGGCACTCACAGCCCAGGAGCCCCTGGGTGGGTGGTGGGGAGGGATGTGGCCCGCCGGCCCCCCCCCCGCCCCCTCCCCCATGCTGCTTCCCCTGTGGGGATCTCAGGAGCTGTTCGAGGATATATTTTCACTTTGTGATGATTTCACTTTAGATGATTTTTTTTTTTTGTATTTTTAACGGGGGTAGCAGCTGGACCACCCGCCTCCTCCCTCCCCCCCGCCGCCACCCTCCCCCACTGCCACCCAGCCCTCAGGCTGGGCGGTGCTGGTGGCTGAGCACCGGCAGTGCCCAAGTCCTGAAGAGGCAGGCCGGCGAGGCTCTGGGAAAGGGGGTTTGGGTGGGAGGTAGGCTGACACCTGTGCTTCGCGTGGGCTGTGCCAAGGGCTTAGGGCGGCTGGCTCTCCAAGTGCCAGGGGTGGGCAGGTGTGCCACCCAGCCCCGCTATCACTGTGCCCTGCTGGGGAAGCACTGGCCTGCCACGCCCCGACCCCTCTTCTGACGTGCCTTTTGCACCCCCCCCCCATAGGACAATCAGCCCCCTCCCACCCGGGAGCCCCCTGCGCTCCCCCTAGCCCCCTGGTGTCCACCTGTGGGGGGGCGGGGGCCTCCTGACCCCCACCCTGCCCTTGTGGCCGGCCTGGCTGGTTTTGTAAGATACTGGGTTGGCACACGGTGATTTTTTTTCCTTGTAATTTAAACAGGCCCAGCATTGTTGGTTCTATTTAATGGACACGAGATAATGTTAAAGGTTTTAAAGTGATTAAACGTGCAGACTATGCAAACCAGGCCTTGTCTCCTGTGGGATATTGCTGGTTGCGTCCTGGGGGGGGGGGGAATCTGTGGCCAGTAGGCTTCCTGGTGGCCTGGCTGCCCGCAGGACCCCAGCCGTCTCCGGCAGGCTCCAGGGACAGAGCCAGGACCTCTCCGGGGCCTTACAGCCAAGATGAGAGCCAAGCCCCCCGCCCAGCACCTCGGCCTCGCGCCTCCTCCCCTCCCCGCGGAGGGGCCGCCCTGGGGCCCGGCCCCGGCCTGGGCCTGCGCGGGGAAGCGGGATGGGTCATCTGCCTGGGAAGTTTTACCCCACTGCAGGCTGGCACCCGGACTCCCCCTCTCCCCTCCATGGCCCCCCTGGCACCCCCGACTTGGTGCGAGGACTCCCAACATTCCCTGGCTCTTGGAGACAGGTTCCCCAAGGCCAGCCCCGGCCCCGCCCACCCCACAGGCCCCGCCCCGCCGTGCCAGCGCCCCGCCCACCCGGCAGGCCACGCCCCCTGCCTCCCCTTCCCTGGCGGCGCCGGCCCCGAGCGCCGGGCGCAGGCCCCCGGGCTCGGTCATTCTTCCCCGGCCTCCTCCTCCCTTCCGTTTCCGTGGCCCGGCGCGGGGGCGCGGGGGGCGCGGGGCCCCGCCCCGCCCCTTCCCCTCTGCGGCCCGCCCAGGCCCGGCCGGAGCCAACCGCAACCGCAGGAGGAGGAAGCGCGGAATCAGGAACTGCCCGGCCGGGCGCGGGCCGCAGTCGTCCCGCCGCCCGAGGAGCCGGAGCCGCCCTGCCCGCGGTAACGCCAGCGTTGCGGCGGAGGGGACCCGGGGTGCGGGACGGGCGGTGCGGGGCAGCCGCAGACCGCCCCGGGAACCGAACCCGGGCGGGGCTGAGGGCGGCGCGGGCGGGACAGCCGGGGGGGGGGGGGGCGGCGATGTAACTGCCCAGGCCACCCGGGCCAGCCTGGCCCCGCCGAGGGCGCAGCTCCAGCGGGGGGAGCGGCCTGGCCCGGGGGCCCCAGGGAGGGGCCTGGCACCAGGTCCCCAGGGATGAGGGCCTGGCCCGGGGTCCCCAGGGAGGAGCCTGGCCCAGGGGCCCCAGGGAGGGGCCTGGCCCGGGGAGCCGGTCACCCAAGTCCAGGCTGCTCTCCCCCGACCCCTGTGTGCCCGCAGCCCCCGCCAACTCCAGCCGCCGCCTTTCGCTCCCAGGGGTGGCCCCCCTCTCTGTCTGCAGGAGGCCGCCATGGGCTTCTCCTCTGAGCTGTGCAGCGCCCAGGGCCACGGGGCCGTGCAGCTGATGCAGGACAGCGAGCTGCGCTTTCTGGAGGGCATGAGGAAGTGGATGGCCCAGAGGGTGAAGAGCGACCGGGAGTACGCGGGGCTGCTGCAGCACCTGTGCCTGCAGGATGGCGGGGGCCAGGGCCGGGGCGGCACCCCCGCCAGCCCCATCGGCCAGGTGGGGTTCCCCGAGGCGCCCCTACCCGTCCCATCCTCTCAGAAGCCCCCTGGGGTGGGCTCGGGGCCATTGTCTGTCTCCCTCTGCCTGCCTGCTTCCCCCTCTGGCGCGGGGCCACAGTCCTGGGCCGAGATCACCAGCCAGACGGAGAGCCTGAGCCGGCTGCTGAGGCAGCATGCGGAGGACCTGAACGCAGGGCCCCTGAGCAAGCTGAGCCTGCTGATCCGCGAGCGGCAGCAGCTGCGCAGGGCCTACAGCGAGCAGTGGCAGCAGCTGCAGCAAGAACTGACCAAGGTGAGGGCCGGCCGTCCATGACGCAGGCCCTGCCGCAGGGGGACTGCGCGCTGGAGCTTCTGCATCCAAGGGGGAAGTGGAAGTCCCTGACCGCAGGCCTGGCCTCCAGAGCGGCCGGTCCAGTCCTGCTCCGGCTTCCTCCCTTCCTCCCCCACTTGGGCGCCGGCTGGGCCTGTCCCTGCATTGTCTGTGCCTGGGCCCAGCGCAGGATGGGTGAGGCCGGCCAGGCCTGGGAGGCGCGCCCTCCCTCCCAGCCCTGCTCCCATGAGGGGAACCGAGGCCCGGCCCGAGTCTTTGGTCTAGGGCCCCTGGATGGTGTGAATCCCACAGCTCCTCGGAGCCTAGGCTTCGTGATTTCCTTGCTGCTGTCTTTCTCAGGAGCTTCAGCCCTCCAGGGTCACAGAGCTCCTAGCATGTTTAGTGCCACACCCCTTCCACCAGGGCCAGCCTGGCTCACATGGACCACAGCGACCCCTGGTGGCCAACTTGGCCTTATTACTCACCTATTTCCCCAAAATATTGTCTAGTTCGAGGATCTGCCCTTGGTCATTGTCATTGTTGTTGTTCTTTCCCCCTCCCCCTCAACCCCTCCCCCCCCCCCCCCCCCCCCCCCGCCCAGTCCTAGCGCTGGAACTCAAGGCCTGGTGCTGTCTGAGCCTCTTTGTGTTTGAGGTTAACACTCAACTACAGCACTACTTGTTTTTTTCTGAGGAGTTTATTGGAGATAAGAGTCTTCAAGGGCTTTCCTAAACCCCAGGCTGACTTCCAACCGCAATTCTCAGATCTCAGCCTCCTGAGTAGCTAGGATTGCAGGCGTGAGCCACTTGTGCTCGGCTTTGGATTTTTATTAGCATGTTTGTTGCCCAAGGATTTTCATTGTGTAACAATGTGTTCCCACCACACTCTTTCCCCGTTCCTCCTCCTTCCCCTTCTTAAAACAATTTCAACAGGTGCCGTCATTGTTTTCTTACATGCACATAAACTACTTGACCTTATTCACCTGCATTCACCCTCTCCCTTCCCCTCCCACCCATCCCAGCTCCTGAATAGAGCCTGCTTTACTTTCTTGCCATTCATCCGTTCACTCATTCATGCGTGTGCATGTGTGTGTTCATTGCATGGTTTCACCATGCCTTTCTGCCTCCCCAAAGGACCTGTCCATCATCACACAGTGACTGACCCTAACCTTAGCCGCCAGCTTCTTCAGAAGTCTCTAGACTCTTCCAGAAGGATGGGCTTGGATGTGCTGCCTACCTTGATGGCAGCACATTTCCAGGGTCCCATCTTGAGAGGCAATCTTCTCCTGGGGACCTGCCCCTCACCACCACGCCCTCTCCCCAGACCCACAGCCAGGACATCGATAAGCTGAAAAACCAGTACCGATCCCTGGCTCGGGACAGTGCCCAGGCCAAGCGCAAGTACCAGGAGGCAAGCAAAGGTCTGTGGCTCCCCCTGCTGGCGGTGTGGGGCATCCTGGCCCAGAGCCCACCTGCCCACAGGTACCCATCACACTGCACCCCGCCCACCCCAGCAGACAAGGACCGGGACAAGGCCAAGGACAAGTATGTGCGCTGCTTGTGGAAGCTGTTTGCCCACCACAATCGCTACGTGCTGGGGGTTCGGGCTGCGCAGCTGCACCACCAGCACCACCACCAGCTCATGCTGCCCAGCCTCCTGCAGTCCCTGCAGGACTTGCATGAGGAGATGGCCCACGTCCTGTAAGCCCGCAGTGCCCCTCCCCTCCCCCACCGGCCCCTTGGACAGCGCCCCTCCCCATCAGCCCCTTGGACAGCGCCCCTCCCCATCAGCCCCTTGGACAGCGTCCCCTCCCCCCCACACCCATCGGCCCCTTGGATAGTGCCCCCCCCCCCCGCCCACTGCCAGTCCTGGGAAAGCACTGACATGGGGTCGTGACAATGAGTCCCACACCCAAGTCTGAACCAACTGGAGCCAAAGCATCTTCCCAGCCATAGCACTGAGAGCACAGAAAGTGAACTTCTGAGCATGTGGAGGGAGGAAAGAAAGTAAAAAGGAAAGACAGCGGGCATGTGTGACTGTCATCATAGCTACTTGGGAGGCTGAGATCTGAGGATCGCAGTTCAAAGCCAGCCCAGGCAGGAAAGTCCATGAGACTCTTGTTGTTGGTCATGGGTCTTGAACTCTGGGCCTGGGCGCTGTCCCTCAGCTCTTCAGCTCAAGGCGAGCGCTCTACTACTGGACCCACATTGCCACTTTTGGTTTTCTGGTGTTTTTTTTTTTTTTGGAGATAAGGGTCTCAGTTAATCACCAAGAAAGCTGGAAGTAGCAGAGCACTAGCCTTGTACAATGAAAGCTTAGGGACAGTGTCCAGGCACCATCAGGGGGTGGGGGTAATAGGAGAAACGATGCCAGGGCAAAGGTGAAGGCAAGGAAAGGGGCCGGAGCGCGAGCCCTGAAGCACAGGGCAGGGAGCTCCTGCAGCGCGGTGGGTTCTGGGACGGCCTCTTAAGGATACAGCGAGGCTAGGGCAGGTTCGCCAGCTCAGGAAGTAGAAATGATTTGCGGCTGCTGGCTTGGGAGAGGAGGTGCGGCAGCCTTGCCAACCCTGGGCCTTGGGTAAGCTGCCTGCCTTGCCCCGCTTGGGGCCCCTGACCGGCCCCTCCTGTGTGGCAGGAAGGAGATTGTGCAGGAGTATCTGGAGATCAGCAGTCTGGTGCAGGATGAGGTGGTGGCCATCCACCAGGAGATGGCCGCGGCCGCCGCCCGCATCCAGCCGGAGGCCGAGTACCAAGGCTTCCTGCGGCAGCACGGGTAAGCGGGCGCTGCCACCTGGTTTTGCAGCTGGGTGCCAGGCTTCTGGCCTCGTCCTGACCACCGCCATGTCCACCCTGCCCACAGCTCGGCCCCGGAAGTCCCCCCCTGCGTCACGTTTGACGAGTCGTTGCTGGAGGAGGGTGAGCCGCTGGAGCCCGGGGAGCTGCAGCTGAACGAGCTGACCGTGGAGAGCGTGCAGCACACGTGCGTGGTGTCCAGGGGACGGAGGGGCGGGGCGGGGCGGGGCGGGCCCAACGCTGCCTCTGCCAGCCACAGGTTGGCCCACGTGACGGTCCAGCTCTCAAGCTGGCCTTCCTGGTGCAGGCTGACCTCGGTGGCTGAGGACCTGGCCGTGGCCACCGAGACGGTGCTGGGCCGGCGGGATGCGGTCAGTAGGCTGCGGCGGGAGCTCCAGGATGAGGAGCAGAGCACGCACCCCCGCGAGCGGTGAGCACCCCTGCGTCTGCCCCCCCACTACAGAGTCCCTGATTCTACGCATCCCTGCGTGTGTGTGTGTGTGTGTGTGTGTGTGTGTGTGTGTTGGTCCTGGGCTTGAGCTCAGGTCCTGCGTGCCGTCCCTTAGTGTTTTCACTTAAGGCTGGTGTTGTACCACTTGAGCTGCATCTCCACTTCCAACTTTTTGCTGACTAACTGAATAGAAGAGTCTGAAGGGCTCTCCAGCACGGGCTGGCTTGGAGCCGTGATCCTCAGATCTCAGCCTCCTGGGTCGCTGGGATGACAGGTGTGCCCCCCCACCCCCCTCCCCGTGCCCGCCCGCTCCAGGCACTACCTCTGCCTGCAGGGTGCAGCTGCTGGGCAAGAAGCAGGCACTGGGGGAGGCCCTGCAGGCCCTGCAGGTGGCGCTGTGCAACCAGGCCAAGCTGCAGGCCCAGCGAGACCTGCTACAGAGCAAGCTGGACCAGCTGGGCTCCGGCGAGGCCCCCGCCGTGCTGCTCCTGCAGGAGGACCGTCAGTCCACCTCGTCCTCAGTGAGCCCTGCCCCGCTCGCCCCTGCCCGGCCGCACGCGGGGGGGGTGGAGGGGGAAAGGGGAAGGGGAGGGGGCGCCCCTCGCTGTCGCCCTCCCCCTCCCCAAGCCCAACCACCTGCTGACATGTGTCCCTGGCCCCAGGAGCAGGAGCGGGAAGGGGGGCGGACGCCTACGCTCGAGCTCCTTAAGAGCCACTTCTCTGGAATCTTCCGCCCCAAGTTCTCGGTGAGTGGTGCTGGGGAGGCGCGGGGGCCGAGGGTCCCAGACGGAGCCCCACGCCCCCACCTCGGTGCTCTGGGCGTCCAGTCCCGACCCCACCCCACGTCCCCTTCCTCTTGTCTGCTGCCAGGAGCAGCTGCCCAGTGTCCACGTGGCTCTTTCCGCTCTGGGGATGGTTGGGGTCTGTGGCGGGGGAAGAGAAGGCACCAGCCCAGGCCTCTGCCTCCTCGGGCTCTGCCCCCTGCTCTGCCGCCCGCAGGGGGCCAAGGCCAGAGGGTTTAGAGCAGGTCCTGTGACCCTGCCCCGCCCCCAGCTCCCGCCCCCGGTGCAGCTGGTCCCCGAGGTACAGAAGCCGCTGCAGGAGCAGCTGTGGTACCACGGGGCCCTGCCTCGGGCCGAGGTGGCCGAGCTGCTGGTGCAGTCCGGGGACTTCCTGGTGCGGGCGAGCCAGGGCAAGCAGGAGCTCGTGCTGTCCGTGATGTGGGACGGCCTGCCCCGCCACTTCATCATCCAGTGCTCTGACGTGAGTGAGCCTCCCCCTCTCCGTCCCCTCCCCGCCCCTCTCCTCCGAGCCACCTCCATGGCTCTCTGCCACCGCCCATCCCGGCTGGACGGGCCCCGTGGGTGGTGCCCCCCTTCCCCGGGCCCCCACTGCCCTCGGCAGCCATGGAGGCCGCTGACCCTGTCCCATGCCCCGCAGGGCCTGTACCGGCTGGAAGGGGACGGCTTTCCCAGCATCCCCCTGCTCGTCGACCACTTGCTGTGCTCGCAGCAGCCCCTCACCAAGAAGAGTGGCGTGGTGCTGTCCCGGGCCGTGCCCAAGGTGAGCTGCAGCAGGCCGCCGCCACGCAGCGCCCTCTCCTCCAGCGCCAAGAAGCGAGTGCCACTCAGCGGGAGGCCAGCCTCCTCCTGGAAGGCCGCCCGTGGGCCTTCTGTCAGACCCACACCCCCAGGCTCCCGAGGAGCTGCTCAGCGCCCCTCTTCTGGGCTGACGTTTGCCCCTCCCTCTCTCCCCCAGGACAAGTGGGTGCTGAACCATGAGGACCTGGTGCTGGGCGAGCAGATCGGGCGGGTGAGTGTGCACCGCCTCCATGCCCCCTCTGCCCGCCCCACACTCAGCCCTGCCGCCAGACACCCTTCAGCCTCTGCTTCAGGCTGGTTTCAGACTCTGACTCTCTGGACAGGAAATGGAGGAGGGTCCCCACCCCCAAAACAGCCAGCACTCCACCTCCTGCCCCTTCAGAGGCTGGCGTACAGGGGATGAATGAGCACCAAAACTGTTTAGGAAGGCACTTGCACATACACAGCAGAATGATCCCAGGGCAGTGACTTTCCCTCCGTTCACCACTAGGGGGCAATCTCCCGAGAGCCCCCAGGGCCCAAGGCTGGCGCTGGGGCGGGTGATCCCCGAGCACTGGCGGGACGCCATGCTGTTTCAGGGGAACTTTGGCGAAGTGTTCAGTGGACGTCTGCGTGCGGACAACACGCTGGTGGCGGTGAAGTCCTGTCGGGAGACGCTTCCGCCCGACCTGAAGGCTAAATTCCTGCAGGAAGCCAGGTGAGCGGCCACATGCCCCGGGTCCCTCTGCCCCGTCCCCTGCCTCTACTCCGTGGCCTCCTGCCCTCTGTCCCGGGGCTCCTGGGTGGCAGGTGGGGGGGGGGCAGGGGGAGGCCACTCCAAACCTAAGCAGCGGCACCCCCAGGATCCTGAAGCAGTACAGCCACCCCAACATCGTGCGTCTTGTCGGCGTCTGCACACAGAAGCAGCCCATCTACATCGTCATGGAGCTGGTGCAGGGTGAGGGGCGCCCTAGCTGGTGCAGGGTGAGGGGCGCCCCGGGCTGGGACCCAGAGCTCGTGCTCAGGGCCGTCACCTGCAGGTGGTGACTTCCTGACCTTCCTGCGGACGGAGGGTGCCCGGCTGCGCGTGAAGGCCCTGCTGCAAATGGCCGGGGACGCGGCAGCTGGCATGGAGTACCTGGAGAGCAAGTGCTGCATCCACCGGTGAGCGCACTTCGGGCAGGCACGTGTGTACAGGCGTCATGCATGCACATGCTCACATAGCCCCCCCACAGGCAGGGGGCCATTAACATGTGCGTGTGTATGCACATGTGCACATCAGTATTCATGCGCGCGCACACACACACATACACACACACACAGAGGAGCTGTCCACACCCGCCCCCCCCCGCCCCGCCCCCCCAGCCCTTATCCAGGCAGACCAGGACAGCCCGGCTGGAAGCAGCTCTGGTTCTCTGCTGTGTGGAGGGCGTGGCCTTGGCTGAAGGGCCCTGCCCCCTCCCCCAGGGACCTGGCTGCTCGGAACTGTCTGGTGACTGAGAAGAACGTTCTGAAGATCAGCGACTTCGGCATGTCCCGCGAGGAGGCAGATGGCATCTACGCCGCCTCTGGGGGCCTCAGACAAGTCCCCGTGAAGTGGACCGCGCCCGAGGCCCTTAACTATGGTAGCTGGCCCCAGCCACACTGGGCCCGGGTGTGGGCAGCCCCAGTGCCCGCAGCCCCTCACCCCCTCCCCGGCCCCCCTGCAGGCCGCTACTCCTCCGAGAGCGACGTGTGGAGCTTCGGCATCTTGCTGTGGGAGACGTTCAGCCTGGGCGCCTCCCCGTACCCCAACCTCAGCAACCAGGAAACGCGGGAGTTTGTGGAGAAGGGTAAGGCCAGCCCCTCTGGGGTTCTGGATTTTTTTTTTTTTTTTTTTTTGTCGGTCGTGGGGCTTGAACTCTGGGCCTGGGCGCTGTCCCTCAGCTCTTCAGCTCAAGGCGAGCGCGCTACCACTTGAGCTACAGCGCCACTTCCGGTTTTCTGGTGGTTTATTGGAGATAGGAGTCTCATGGTCTCTCCTGCCCGGGCTGGCTTTGAACCGCGATCCTCAGATCTCAGCCTCCTGAGTAGCTAGGATTACAGGCGTGAGCCACCAGCGCCCGGCGGGTTCTGGATATTTAACTACCATCCCTCCCCAGGGGCAGCGCAGCCCGCTGGCCCTCCACCCATGCCAGGCTGCATGGGGCGTCCCCTCCCCCTCCACACACACCCAAGGGAATCACACGCCCTGCAGCTGGGAAAATGGGGAGCAGAGGCCCACGTGTGGAAGCAGCATGCCTCTGTCCTGGGGTGCACGGTGGGCAAGAGGCCCCGCTCCTCATGCCGGCCCACCGTGCCCACCCCCAGGGGGCCGCCTGCGCTGCCCGGAGCTGTGCCCCGACGCCGTGTTCAGGCTCATGGAGCAGTGCTGGGCCTACGAGCCGGGGCAGCGGCCTGGCTTCAGCGCCATCTACCAGGAGCTGCAGTGCATCCGCAGGAGGCACCGCTGAGACTGGCCCCCCCGGCCTCCAGCCTGGGCTTCCGACAACGCCGAGAGTGGTTGGCCAGGCAGAGACAATAAAACCCTGTGTGCCCATCTGTGTGTTGGCATGTGCACTCCTCTGGAGGGAAGGTTCCAGAAAGCAGGAAGGGCCTACACAGCGGCCAGCGGACCTAGAAAAGGGGAGGACAGGTAGAGCAGACGTAACCTGGGCAGCTTTCCACTGAGACCGGGCAGAGCCCGAGAGCTCAGGCTGTGGCCAGGCGGTGGCGGCATTTCCTAGAACTCGCCAGGATGGTGGGTTCGAGGCCTGCGAGGCCTGGACAGTCCGCAGCCAGGCGCAGGTCAAGGCTGAGCCAGGTGCAAAGGTCCCCGGTCCGTCCACGCCGGGGCGGCCGCCGCGAGGACGCGCGGGGCGGCGGCGCCTCTCCAGGCCCGGCCGGCCAGTCGGGCCGGAGGCTCGGCCTCGCCATCCCGCCGGCCCCGCCCCGCACGCCGCCGCCGGCTGGCCCGGGCTGGCCCCTGCCGCTTGGCCCGCCGGGCCCACCGTCGCGCCGAGGGGCCGAGGCCGCCGGCGCGAGCCACGCGGCCGCCGGCGCGGGTTCAGGGTTCGAGGCCACGGTCACCGCAGCAGCGCTGGAAAGGCGGACGACCTCGGAGCGCAGGGCCGGTCCGCGGCGCCTTTGCGCGGCCAGGGGCCCGGATGCGGGAGCCGCGCTGCGGGAACGCTCTCCGGGTCGCGCTGGCGAGGCGGGCAGGGCTGAGATGCCACCGTCCGGTAACGTGACCGCTCCGGGAGCGCCGCGCTCAACGGACGCCGGCTTCCGCGGCTGCGCAGTGAGGCCTCCCGGACGCCCGAGATTGACAGCGCGGGGGCGGAGCGCCGGGGGGGGGGGCCTGTGCGCGCCGGAGGGGCGGGGCCTGTGCGCGTCGGGGGCGGGGCCGCGCTGGGGGCGGGGCCTGTGCGCGCCGGCGGTTCTGGCCCCGCGGGAGCGCGGCTGCGGTGCGCGAGCCCGGGGCGACCGGTGGGCGCGCTCGACACCGGCCGGCGTCTCTGAGGGCGCGCGGGCCGCCGGGCCGGGGATGTGAGGCGCGGTCCGTCTGCGGCGGGGCCCGGAACGGCGCGGAGGCCGGCTGCGGACGGTAGCGGTCCGGGCGGGGGCGGCTCGGGGCCGGGAGCGGGGAGGCCCGGTGCGGGCCGGGTCGGGGCTAGGCCGCCCGCGGAGCCGGCGGCAGTGCGGTCCCCGGGGCCCGGCTCCCGCGCCCGGCTCCACGCTCTCCGCCGGCCCAGGCTAAAAATACTGCGGGGCTCGGCGGGAGCGGGCGGCGCCAAGTAGGGCGCGCGGGGTGGCCGGGCCCCGCCGGCCCGCAGCGGACGCCCGGCCTGCGGCCTCGAGTGCGCCCTGAGCCGCCTGGGCGCCGCCGCGCCCGCCGACTGTTGAGCAGCGTGAGCATCTGCGTGTGTGCGTGCGTGCCTGTGCGAGAGCGTGCGCACGCGCGTGTGCCTGCAGGTCCCGGGGCTTGCACCACGGCCTGGCGCTGCCCGGCCTCCGGCGCTGGCGCTCTACCCCTTGGGCTCACGCCACAGGCCCACGTTGGGCTTTTGGCTGGCTGGAGGAAAGAGGCTCACGGACTTCCCCGCCCGGGCTGGCTTGGGACCGCCATCCACCAGTGCCTGGCTCTTGTGTTCTCCTCCTTCTCCCCTTCTTCCTCCTCTTCCTCCCCTCTTTTTTCTTTTTTTTAGGGGGGTGGTCACAGGACTTGAACTCAAGCATCAGTACCGTCCCTGAGCTTTTCTGCTCAAGACTAACGTTGAGCCACAGCACCACTTCTGGTTTTCTAGATTTTCCTGCCCAGGCTGGCTTTGAACTGCAGTCCTTAGATCTCAGCCTCCTCAATAGCTAGGATTACAGGTGTACACCACTAGTGCCTAGCTTCTTTTCACCTTTTTGTGCTGGCACCAGGGCTTGAGTTCCATGTCTCAAGCTAGTTAATTGGAGGTGAAATCGCAGACTTTTTTGTCCCTGATGGATTTGAACCACAATACACCAGGTCTCCACCTCTTGAGTAGGATTACAGATGTGAGCACCAGAGCCCTCTGCTTTTGTTGAGAGACAGGATCAGCACCTGACTTTGTTCCTGCTGAATGCCACTGTGAAACAAGAGGACAGGGCAGGGGCTGGGAAGGTGGCTCGGTGGTAGAGTGCTTACCTTGCATGCATAAGACCCTGGGTTTGATTCCTCAGCACCACATAAGCAGAAAACGCCAGAAGTGGTGCTGTGGCTCCTATGGTAGAGTGTTAACCTTTCAGCTGAAGAGCCCAGGGACAGTACCCGGGCCCAGAGTTCAGCCCCCACAACTGACAAAAAGAAAAAGACAGGGCAGAAGCCTGACAGCTTTGGCCTCTGTCTCTAAGTCAAAATAGAGACCAGTGTGGCCATCTGAGAGCCACGTGACCAGGAGTTCACAGCTACCACCAGCCAACCAATGGGCAGGCTCCAGGAAACTGGTTGCAATTGGTGTATCCAAATGTGGGCAGAAACTGGGTCTTGCTATCTTGGATAGCTTCTCCCAGCATCAGTGGAGGAGTGGCCTAACCAGCCTCAGATACTTATTTGTACTTTTAGAGTCTCAAGGTCGGGGGTTGGGGGTGAGTGCTTTTTTTGTGGGGAGGGGGATTTGGTGTTTCGAGCTTGCATTGTGTTGGAGTCAGACCAGCAGGTGCTTCTCAGGAACGGGCCTGGGAACTGGAGCGTGGTGGGAAGGCCACGCAGGGGCTGCGTGCGTGCCGCAGGTCAGCTCTTGCTGAGTCCCGTGTCCTTGGCAGGTGCCTGTGCGGCCAACATGAAGCTGAAAAAGCAGGTGACAGTTTGTGGGGCTGCTATTTTCTGTGTGGCTGTGTTCTCACTGTACCTGATGCTGGATCGAGTCCAACACGATCCCACGCGACACCAGAACGGCGGGAACTTCCCCCGGGTGAGTGAGTGAGTGAATCTCCTGTGCTCAGGCTGCTGCCCTGGAGAGGCATGTCAGCCCAGGACATGACTTTCTTTCTTTCTTTCTTTCTTTCTTTCTTTCTTTCTTTCTTTCTTTCTTTCTTTCTTTCTTTCTTTCTTTCCTTTTCTTTCTCTTTTTCTTTTTTTTGGTCATGGGGCTTGAACTCTGGGCCTGGGCGCTGTCCCCCAGCTCTTCAGCGAGCACTCTTACCACCTGAACCACAGCGCCACTTCTAGTTTTCTGGTGGTTTATTGGAGAGCAGAGTCTCAGGGACTTTCTTGCCTGGGCTGGCTTTGAACTGTAATTCTCAGATCTCAGCCTCCTGCTTAGGTGAAGGTAGAGCAATTATGATTAGGATTTTAGCTGGGAGAATGGTTCAAATAGTGCTTACTTTTTGAGCATCTATAGTACTGTTGTGGTTAAGTTTAGTCGTTAGTATAAGTGAAATAACGTATAGGACTAGTGTGCTGATTAAGAAGATGATCATGAGGGTGTGGTCGTGGAACTAGTTACTTCTTTTGTAATAGGTGATGAGGCATCTTGAAGTCCTATTTGAAGTCGATAAGCCATAAAGATATATAAGCTAGGATTATGGGCGTGAGCCACTGGCCCCCAGCTGAGAGTGTGTCTAAGACCTGACTTGTGGCTTTCTTGGGGGGAAAGAGGTACACTGGGAATGGAACCCAGAGCACATGCTCCACCACTGAGCTATACCCCAGCCCCAACAGGAACTGGAAAGTAGTAATGTCAAAAAGAAAGCAGGAAGAAGAAACAGCTATGTGCATTGCTCTTGGCCTGAATTCTTGGCAGACATTGCTAATCGATTGTAGCATTCTTTCCCAGCAAGTCCCAGGGCAGGCTTCCTCAGTGCTGGGCTGTGGACAGGCAGCACAGGTCGTCAAGCACAGGCATGTGGGATGTGGAGAGAGACCGCATTCCACCCGTGCAGATCTGAGTCCTCGTTAGACCTGTGCGTGGAGCACGTGGTCAAGGAGGGAGCCGTCAGCCATGGTGGGTGCTGGAGTGTCTGTGGCTTAGGGAGCTGTGGGTGACGGCTCTCTGGTGTCTCGGCAGAGTCAGATTTCTGTGCTGCAGAACCGCATCGAGCAGCTGGAGCAGCTGTTGGAGGAGAACCACGAAATCATCAGCCACATCAAGGACTCGGTGCTGGAGCTGACGGCCAATGCTGAAGGCCCGCCCGCCCTGCTGCCCTACCACACGGCCAATGGCTCCTGGGTAGTGCTCCCAGAGCCGCGGCCCAGCTTCCTCTCCATCTCCCCCCAGGACTGCCAGTTTGCTTTGGGGGGTAGGGGCCAGAAGGCAGAGCTGCAGGTGAGCCGCAGCGCTGGGCTGGCGGGGGAGCTGGGGTGCCCCTAGGGGGCACTGAGCGCCTTCCCTGTGGGCAGATGCTGGCGGTGTCAGAGGAGCTGCCGTACGACAACGTGGACGGTGGGGTGTGGAGGCAGGGCTTCGACATCTCCTATAGCCCCAGCGACTGGGACGCTGAGGACCTGCAGGTGTTTGTGGTGCCTCACTCACACAACGACCCAGGTGAGGGCTGGCCCAGGTGAGGGCTGGCCGGAGTCGGGCGTGGGGCCAGCCTTCGCACCGCCACCCACGAGGGGAGTGGAGGAAGACGGGTGTCCTCAGGGGACGGGTGTCGGCTCCCCAGGCTGGATCAAGACCTTCGACAAGTACTACACGGAGCAGACGCAGCACATCCTCAACGGCATGGTCTCCAAACTGCAGGAGGACCCGCGGCGGCGCTTCCTCTGGGCGGAAGTCTCCTTCTTCGCCAAGTGGTGGGGCAACATCAGTGCCCAAAAGAGAGCCGCCGTGAGAAGGTGGGCGTCTGTCAGGGAGGTGACTGGGGCTGCCATCGAGCCCTGGGGTGGCGGGAGCAGGTTGGAGCAGTCAGGGAGGTGAGGGGTGGGGGTTCAAATGTCACTAGTGTTGAGAGAAATGGAAGTCGTCTGAGCAGGAGTGAAGAGGAAGCGTGGGCATTTCTCCTGGGACCACCCGGGGTGCTGAGCAGGGCAGGACCATGTTGGGGTGCACTGGAGAGGAGGAGGGTGTATGTGCTCTTGGTCCTGGGTTGGGAGTCCCTGGCCCAGCCTCACCGCCAGGCTTCCCCTTCAGACTGGTGGGAAACGGGCAGCTGGAGATCGCAACGGGAGGCTGGGTGATGCCGGATGAGGCCAACTCGCACTACTTCGCATTGATCGACCAGCTCATCGAGGGCCACCAGTGGCTGGAGAAGAACCTCGGTAGGTTGCGCCTCACCTCCAGGCTGAGTGCCGTGGCCAGGTGCTGTAAGGGGAACTGGCAGAGAATGGCCCACGTGAGCCGGTGCGCCTGGCGAGGCAGGGGCAGGGGTTCCCCACCCCCCAGGGGCCAGAGGGCTCAGGGCCTTGCGTCCTCCCAGGTGCCACCCCGCGCTCTGGCTGGGCGGTGGACCCCTTTGGATACAGCTCCACCATGCCTTACCTGCTGCGCCGCGCCAACCTGACCAGCATGCTGATCCAGAGGGTGCACTACGCCATCAAGAAGCGCTTTGCCGCCACCCACAGCCTGGAGTTTATGTGGAGGCAGACATGGGGTGAGGCCGGCGGGGGAGCAGCGGGGGCAGCAGGCCCTCGCTATGGGAAGCAGGGAGGGATGCTGAAGGCAGGACCCCTGACTTGAGGGTGTCTCTCCTCCTGATTGGGGGGTCCTGGGGTGCCCCGTATGCATCTCCTGCGAGGGAGGCCCGCGTCCTGTCCCTCGGTTGCACGTTCTTCGCACAGGCGCGGCTGTTTATCAGAGACTGCGCCCTTGCGGCCAGGCCCTGGCTCCCGAGCCTGCTCACAGTCCCGTTGTGTCTTCTGTAGACCCGGACTCCAGCACAGACATCCTGTGCCACATGATGCCCTTCTACAGCTACGATGTCCCCCACACCTGTGGCCCTGACCCCAAGATCTGCTGCCAGTTTGACTTCAAACGCCTTCCTGGGGGCCGCATCAACTGCCCATGGAAGGTCCCACCCCGGGCCATCACAGAGGCCAACGTGGCCGACAGGTACAGCTGGGTACATGCCGGCCCTTGTTGGGCATGCGCGGTGGTTCTGGTCCCTGGAGGAGTCAGGCGTCTTGGCCTCTGGGTGGGTGGCGCCATGTGGGGAAAGCTGACAGCAGGACAGGGCGGGCACAGGTGCTGAGCTCAGGGCCTCAGAGCCGTGGCAGGGGTACTTTAGTGTCTCCCTGGAAAACAGGACCAGCACTAGGGAACCACTGTTCCCGCCTTCATTTCCCTGTGGGGGCATTTTCTGGTGTCTTAACAAGCTGCCACCGCCAGCTGGCAGCCAGCAGTGAGCGGCTCTGCCATGGCTTTGGGCTCACCAGCCTTCGCCTGGCCCCAGCAGCTGGGAGCGTCCTCAGTGCTCAGTGGGCCGGAATCGCGCCCAGATTCACGTGGTCCTGGCACACAGCCTGTATCAGCACAGAGACGGCACCAACTCTAGGGCCCCCCCCCACGGGGAGCTTAAATGTGCTGCTCAAGTATGACACAGCCAGTACTTTAAACATACAACAAGTTCGATTATGCCAGTGGCTCACGCCTGTAATGCTAGCTCCTCAGGAGGCTGAGATCTGAGGAAAACGCTTCAAAGCCAGCCTGGGCAGGAAAGTCTCTGGGGACTGTTACTTCCAATTAACTACCAAAAAGCCAGAAATGGAGCTGTAGCTCAGGTGGTAGAACGCCAGCCTTGAGTGAAAAAACTGAGCAAGAGTTGGAGGCCTTGAGGTCAGGCCCCACTAGCGGCACTGAAGAAGAAACAAGAGTCTTAACCGGCTGGACTGGCTTTTGTGTCAGAGGCTTGGTTTCCTGCGTCTGAGCAGTGGGACAGACAGGGAAGAAAGTGACCCTTTGTTTCCAGAAGTACAAACGCCCATTGCAGACAAGAGCCTGGGGCCAAAGAACATGGCTAATCTCCAAAGCTGCTCTGGTCATTTAATCCTCCCTGACTCAGAATAGCCCAGACAAGGCCGGTGTTGCCTGCTGTGAGTGGGGTCTGGACTGCACGGGAGAGCGAGCTGGCCAGCACAGATCCACGTGCACCACTTCATAGGCAGAAAGGAAGCTGGGCACCAGTGCTCACACCTACAATCCTACCTATTCAGGAGGCTGAGATCAGAGGATCGAGGTTCAAAGCCAGCCCAGGCACAGAAGTCCCTATGATATTCTTACCTCCAATTAATCCCCCCCTCCCCCAAACCCTCAAAACACACAAGAAAAGCATGAGCTCAGGAGGGAGAGGACCTGAGTGACACAGGACACCATAGTGACTGACCGCTATGTGACAGGCCACGCTGCCCCGTACGTGCGTCTCGCCCTCAGCCTGCCCCCCCTCCCCATGTCGGGCAGCTGGGCCAACTCAGGGCCACCTGCAGGTGGAGGAGGCCCTGCTGGGCCATGGGCAGCCCTGGGTCCCAGCAGGCCATATCTTCCCCGCGCAGGGCGGCGCTGCTCCTGGACCAGTACCGGAAGAAGTCCCAGCTGTTCCGCAGCAAGGTGCTGCTGGTGCCGCTGGGCGATGACTTCCGCTACGATAAGCCCCAGGAGTGGGACGCGCAGTTCCTCAACTACCAGCGCCTCTTCGACTTCCTCAACAGCAAGCCCGAGCTGCACGTGCAGGTGTGCGGGGTGCGGGGCGCCCCCTCCCCAACCCGCTCCTGTTCTGTCCCTTCTCTGTCCTGGCCCCGCACTGCTGGCCAGAGGGCCCGGGGCCGCGCTGACGGGGCTGGCGGCCCGCAGGCTCAGTTCGGCACCCTCTCTGAGTACTTCGACGCGCTGTACAAGAGGACGGGCGTGGAGCCTGGGGCCCGGCCGCCCGACTTCCCCACGCTGAGCGGCGATTTCTTCTCCTATGCCGACCGAGAGGACCACTACTGGACGGGCTACTACACTTCTCGGCCTTTCTACAAGAGCTTGGACCGCGTCCTGGAAGGCCACCTGCGGTGAGGTCCTTTGCCTCCCCCTCCCCCCTCCCCACCCCCCTTGCATCTCACAGGGAAGCCCCTCACCCCCCCCACCGTGCATCTCGCAGGGAAGCCCCTCCCCCCCCACCGTGCATCTCACAGGGAAGCCCCTCACCCCCCTCCCCCGTGCATCTCACAGGGAAGCCCCTCACCCCCCTCCCCCATGCATCTCACAGGGAAGCCCCTCACACACACCGTGCATCTCACAGGGAAGCCCCTCACACACACCGTGCATCTCACAGGGAAGCCCCTCACACCCCCCCCCCACCATGCATCTCACAGGGAAGCCCCTCCCCCCCCCACCGTGCATCTCACAGGGAAGCCCCTCCCCCCCCCCCGTGCATCTCACAGGGAAGCCCCTCACACACACCATGCGTCTCACAGGAAAGCCCCTCACACACACCAGGCACCCCGCGGGAAAGCCCCTCACACACACCGGGCACCCTGTAGGGAATTCCTTCTTATATAGGTCATGGGGTGCGGCTGGATGGGCGGAAGCCCAGGCCGTGGGAAGGCAGAGGGAGGCCCTGGCCAGCATGGGTGGCCGAGGGCAGGGGTGGGCGCTGACTGGCCTCTGTGGGCAGGGGGGCAGAGATTCTTCACAGCCTGGCTGCAGCTCACGCCCGCCGCGCCGGGCTGGCTGGGCAGTACCCGCTCTCCGACTTCGCCCTCCTGACGGAAGCGCGGCGCACGCTTGGACTCTTCCAGCACCATGATGCCATCACCGGCACTGCCAAGGAAGCGGTGGTGGTAGACTACGGGGTCAGGTACGCGCTCCCTGTCACCGGTGGGGGCCGGAGGGCAGGCCAGGACTGTCCATCCACCGTGTGTGTCTCCTCCCGCCCACTGCCCACCGCACACCCCCTCCTGCCCACAGGCTGCTGCGCTCGCTGGTTGGCCTGAAGCAGGTCATCATGAACGCCGCTCACTACCTGGTGCTGGCGGACAAGGAAGCGTACCACGTTGACCCTGAGGCACCCTTCCTCCAAATGGTGGGTGCTGTGCCGTCCAGAGAGTTGCGGTCCTTCCCGGGTGGGAGGGAGAGCGCATGGCGGCTGGCGGACCGCCGCCAGCACCAGTGGGGCCCCTCACGGAACCCCCTCCTTGCCTGCTTGACTCCAGGATGACACCCGCCTAAGTCACGATGCCCTGCCTGAGCGCACTGTGGTCCAGCTGGGCTCCTCCCCCAGGTGAGCCAGCGCCTGCCAGCCCCGCAGAGCCCATCCTGGCGGCTGCCCCCGTGCAGCTCCCAGGTCAGCCCCGCTTTGCCCACAGGTTCGTGGTGCTGTTTAACCCCCTGGAGCAGGAGCGGCTCAGTGTGGTGTCGGTGCTGGTGGACACCCCCCGCGTGCGGGTCCTGACCGAGGAGGGCCAGCCGCTGGCCGCGCAGATCAGTGCGCACTGGAGCTCCGCCACCGACATGGTCCCCCACGTCTACCAGGTGAGCCCTGGTCTCTGCCTCATCCACGGCCTCTTCTTGGGCGTCCCATGGGGAGGGGGATACCTGGGGGAGGGGGCTGCCCCTAGGGCAGGGCAGGCTCCCGTTTAAGTCTGACTTTGAAGACAAGGTGAAGGTTAGTATGTGGATGACAGTGACGATTCAGTACAACCATTTACCACTTGTGTCTCTGAGATAGGTCTTTATGTTGCTTTGGCTGGTCTTGAACCCTAGGGTCAAGTGATCTTCCTGCCTCAGCTTCCCAACTAGCTGGGATTATAGGAATATTGTACAGCATTATAAATATTTGTTAATGGGCTGGGACGGTGGCTTAGTGGTAGAGCGCTTGCCTTGCATGCCTGAGGCCCTGGGTTCGATTCTTCAGCACCACATAAGCCAAAAGCAAAAAGCCGGAAGTGGTGCTGTGGCTCAAGTGGTAGAGCGCTACCCTTGAGCTAAAGAGCTGAGGGACAGCGCCCAGGCCCAGAGTTTAGGCCCCACGACCGGACCCAAAAAAACAAAACAAAAACCACAAATATTTGTTAGTGAGAGCTTGCTTTTGGGGGACATGAGGGGAGGGGCAGTTCTGGAGTTTAAACTCGGCTCCATGCTTGCTAGGCAGGTGCTCTATTATTGAGCCACATCTCTAGCCCTTTTTATTGCACTTACTTTTGAGGTAGGGCCTGCTGTTTGCTTGGGATGTGAGCTTCCTAGTCATGCTTTCTACCATAGCTGGGGTGACAGGCATATACCACCCTGCCCAGCTTCTGTTGAGATGGAGTCTCATGAACTTTTTGCCTGGGCTGGCCTCAAACCTTGATCCTCCCAATCTCAGCCTCCCAAGTAACTAGGATTACGTGAGTGAGCCATCATATCCAGCTTTTAAATCTTCTGTTGTTTTGAGCAGGATCTTGATGCGCCCTCTGTGGCCAGGCTGGCCTTAAACTCGCCAAGCTCCTGAGTGCTGGAATGATAGGTGTACAACACCTCGCTGCTTCGTGGGAAGCATAGTGGGTGTCCCTCCACAGTTTTCCAGGCGTCATTGAGACGATGACGTCTGCCCAGCCGGAAGGGCGCTTTCGGAGGAGGGGGTGGGCGGGGGTCTCAGCGCAGGAGCCCCAGGCTGCAAGTGGAGTTGCCCTGGGCCCAAGCGTCTGCGCCTCACTCCTCCCTCCCCTCCTCCTCACCCCTCCTGTGCTTGCAGGTGTCTGTGCCCATGCGCCTGCCTGCGCTGGGCCTGGGCGTGCTGCAGCTGCAGGCGGACGTGGAGGGGCTGCACACACTGCCCTCCTCCGTGCTGGTATACCTGCACGGCCTAAAGCTGGCCATCAGCCGGCACGACGCCCTCCCCCTCCGTGTCATGGACTCCAGCCCCAGCGACTTTGCCATCAGCAACCGCTACATGCAGGTCTGGTTCTCAGGCCTCACCGGGCTCCTCAAGGTAAAGGGCCAGGGGTGGTGAGGGAGGGCCAGGGCGGGCTGGGCGGGGCATGCGCACCAGTGGGCTGTGCAGAACTGGCAGTGCCCGGGATGTGGGCCAACTCGGCTTCAAGCCAGCAGTGTTGGAAGCAGCTTTGTCATGGTTCCAGATTCCTGAGTTTGTCATTTGACAAATGGAAAAGATTATTTTGGCTGAGTTTTGGAAGTTTTGGGACGTGATCAAGTAGAACCACTGTTTGGCTATGAAGTAAAGCCCCTCAGAGCCAGGCTACAGAAGAGAGAGAGAAAGGGATGGGGTTCTGCCTGCCTTTTCAACATGTGCCTCTAGGCAGCCTGAGACAGCCTGCTAGGGTTCTGGGATGTGGCTTAGTTAAGTACTAGAACCCTTACCTAGCAATTGCCAGTTCCTGAGTTCAGGCCTCAGTACCCTGAGGCCACTAGCTCTGCCTCTGCTAGGCACCGCCCCCACCAGGCCCTGCCCCCACAAGATCTACCTCTGCTAGGCCCCGCCCCCACCAAGTCCCTTTCCCACCAGGCCCACCTCTGCTAGGCTTCTCCTCTACTGGAGAATCCCCATCACCTCCCAGTACGGCTCCTCTGGGAACCAGCCCTCAACGTGTGGGCCTTGAAGGACAAGGTTTGGCACTGGTTTTGGCACCTTGGGGAAGTGAGTTTGTGCCCTCCAGGGGGCAGGCCTGACATGCTGGTGTGGGGCCAGGGGTCAGGGCTGTGTTCTTCAACAGAGCATCCGAAGGGTGGATGAGGAGCAGGAACAGCGGGTGGACATGAAGTTCTTCGTCTACGGCACCCGCACATCCAAAGACAAGAGTGGGGCCTACCTCTTCCTGCCTGATGGCGAGGCCAAGGTACCTGAAAGACGTTCCCCCAGTCCTGGCAGCCTCCAGGGGCCTTTGTCTTTGCTGCCCCTAGGGGGTTGGTGGAATGTAACTCAAACTTTGGGTTTGGCCCCTCAGCCCCGGTTCCAGGCAGACCCTCTGGGGAGAGCTCTCCTTGTCAGCTGGGCCCAGCCCTCTGCTCTGCCGTCTGTGTATGAGCTCAGGGCCCACCTGCTCTTTCTCCAGCCCTACACCCCCAAGAAGCCCCCTGTGCTGCGGGTGACAGAAGGTCCTTTCTTCTCAGAGGTAGTGACCAACTATGAGCATGTTCGCCAGGTCGTCAGGCTTTACAACCTGCCGGGTGAGCCCTGCAGGCGGGAGGAGGCTGCTTGGGCTGTGTGCCGCAGGCCTCCTGTCTGCACACCGTCCTCAGAGGTTTCGTGTGGGACGGGCATCCTGGGAGGTGCAGAAGTGGGGGGCAGGGCCCAGCTCAGCTCTGGCTCCTGGAGAGTCTCAGTCCGAGCTCACCTCCCTCCCTCTGTGCCTGTGCCAGGGGTGGAGGGGCTGTCGCTGGATATGTCGTTCCTGGTGGACATCCGGGACTATGTGAACAAGGAGCTGGCCCTGCGCATCCACACGGACATCGAAAGCCAAGGCGCCTTCTTCACAGACCTCAATGGCTTCCAGGTGCCTGCTGGGCTGGGCCAGGCCCCAGGGGCATCATGGGCACAGGGCCAGGCCCCAGGGGCATCATGGGCACAGGGCCAGGCCCCAGGGGCATCATGGGCACAGGACCAGGGTGGAAGGTCGCCCTGATGGAGAAAGGACTGGAGGAGAGAGTGGTGGGGGTGGGGGAGCTCCAGACTAGGGACCCATCAAGGTCAAATGGGCCCAGATGCTCTTGACGGGTTTGTTGGCCTTGCGCTGTAGATCCAGCCCCGGCGGTACCTAAAGAAGCTGCCCCTGCAGGCCAATTTCTACCCCATGCCGGTCATGGCCTACATCCAGGACACGCAGAAACGCCTCACACTGCACACAGCCCAGGCCCTGGGTGTCTCCAGCCTCGGTGACGGTGAGTGGTGATCTAGAGCCCAGCCCCCTACTGCCATCTGCCTCCTCTCTCCGGCCCCACCCCCTCCCTGCTTGGGGAAGGGTGGCGCTCCAGTGCAGGACTGGAAGCCTGTGTCCCCAGCAAGGCTGCCGCGAGCAGGGCTGTGTCCCCAGGGGAGGACTGTGGCTCCTGCCTGCGGGCCGCGTCCCTGCCTGCTCTTCTCCCTCCGTTCCTCTGATGCTGTGTATTGTGGTGGTTTTTTCTATGAGGGGCTCACTTTAGGATTTGGGGTGACGGTCTGTCATTGTTCAGGGCACTGAGATGAGGACAGAAGTCCGGCAAGGGCCCGGTGCTGCGGCAGAGCCACGGGTACATTCGACCGGCAGCTCTCAAGTGTTACAGCACACACACACACACACACACACACACACACACACACACACACACACACACACACGCAGCTCTCAAGTGTTACAGTACACACACACACACACACACACACACACACACACACACACACCGCCAGGTCCCGACCCCCATCCCCAGCAAGACATGTACTGGCTCAATCTTTTCTTTTTGTGTGTGGGTCCTGGGGCTTGAACACAAGGCCTGGGTGTTGTCTTTTTTTTTTGGTCTGGTTGAACTCTGGGTCTGGGCGCTCTCCCCCAGCTTTTCAGCTCAAGGCGAGTGCTCTAACACTTGAGCCACAGCACCACTTCTGGCTTTTTTCTTTTTTTTCTTACGTGGTGCTGAGGAATCGAACCCAGGGCCTCATGCATGCAAGGCAAGCACTCTACCACTGAGCCACCTTTCCCCTGGGTGTTTTCTCTTAAGCCACAGTTCCACTTCTGGCTTTTTGGTGGCTAATTAGAAATAAGCATCTCATGGACTTTCCTACCTGGGTTGGATTTGAACCATGATCCCCAGATCTCAGCCTCCTGAGTAGTTAGGACTATAGCGTGAGCTACTAGTACCCAGCCCACTCGGCTGTTTTGTGCCTGCCAGGCCCTGGGCCTGGGTCCCACTGTTGAGTCCAGTGGTGAGCCATGGGGTCAGCGGGTCCTGAGTGGGGATAGCCCCCCACTGGCCCTCCCAGCTCTAGGGTCCCATGGTGCCCCTCTGGGCTCTTCGTGAGGGCCCATGGGGGGCCTCCTCCCAAGCGAGGGTCTGCTTGTAGTAGCCGGGGCTCCCTATGGTCTCCACAGGACAGCTGGAGGTGATCCTGGACCGGCGGCTAATGCAGGATGACAACCGGGGCCTAGGCCAGGGGCTGAAGGACAACAAGGTCACCTGCAACCACTTCCGCCTCCTGCTGGAGCGGCGCACCCGCGGCAGTGAGGTAAAAGTGGGGACAAGGCCTGGACCGGAGCTCAGGGCCTGGGTATGGCCGGGGAGGCTGGGAGGGCAGAGCAGGGCTCCGTTCCTAGGCTGTGGCAGGGGCATCTCCCATGTGCCCAGCCCCTCGTGCAGCCTGGAGCCCCCTCCCAGCCGCACCGGTCCACTCCTCTTGTCTGCCCACCCCTGCCCAGCATGTCCCGTCTACTTCCCCCTGCTCATGGCTTTCTCTGCCTTCACCAGCCTGACTTTGCTCCAAACGGAGCGCTGTGTGTAGGGGGGGGGGAGGGAGAGGTCACGCAGATGACATGGTGTACCAGTGCACGCGCGCTCTCTGTAGTCAGAGCTGCTGCCGGCGCCCACAGGTCTTACCGCATGTAGTGGGGGAGGTGGGTGCCACCCGTGCCACCAGGACCTCCCTGCGTTAGCCTCCTTCGCCTCTCTTGAGGTGACTGCCATGGGAAGTGGCCACACGTGAAGGCTGGGGGGACAGGGCCTGAGGCAAGGTAGCCAGTGTCTGCCTGGCCTGGCACGGTCCCTCACCCGTGTCCTGGTCCCTCCTGCAGGTCCGAGACGAGCTCTCTAGCAGCTACCCATCCCTCCTCAGCCACCTGACCTCCGCGTTCCTCAACACCCCGGTGCTCACACTGCCCGTGGCGGGGAGTCGGGTCTCCAGCCCCGCGCTGCACCCCTTCCGTCCCCTGGCCTCTGCTCTGCCCTGCGACTTTCACCTGCTCAACTTGCGCACGCTCTCCGCAGAGGTGAGTGTCCTGCCCCGCCCCGCCCCGCCCCCTCGGAGGAGGGGCGCGCCATCCACAGCCTGCCTGTGCCCCCAGGACGACTCCCTGCCCTCGGAGGATGCGGCCCTCATCTTACACCGCAAGGGCTTTGACTGCGGCCTCGAGGCCAAGAACTTGGGCTTCAACTGCACTACGAGCCAAGGCAAGGTGAGCGGGCGCCAGCGCGGTGGGAAGCCCCTGAGCTGGGCAGTTGCTGGAGGGAGAGGGAGTCAATCACATGCCCTCCGTTACTGAGGCTTGCAGGGGCTGTTCCCAGAGAAGGTGCAGAGCCCAAGAACTTGTGCTCTCTGAGAAGACTGTACACAGCTCACGGAAAGCTGCAGAAATCTAATCCTCAGAGCCCTGTGTGCTCCCTTTGAGAGCCCCACTGGTGGCTCCAGGTCCTAAGGCCTGGCTAGGACCGGACCCTGCCCTCAGCCAGCGCTGTGCCACACCCGGCCCTCGGGGCAGACTCCGAGGAGGAGGATGTGGTCCAGAATGAGCCTGCGCCTGCCTGTCTCCACAGGTAGACCTGGGGGGCCTGTTCCACGGCCTGGGTGTGCGCTTCCTCCAGCCGACCTCCCTGACGCTGCTCTACCCGCTGGCCGCCCCGTCCAACAGCACGGACGTGTACGTGGAGCCCATGGAGGTCGCCACCTTCCGCCTCCGCCTGGGTTAGGCCCTGGGCCTGCAAGTTGCTCCCCAGAGACTGGGTCGGACCCCAAGGGGTGATGATCCAGCCCTGACAGACTGGGCTCCGCCCTCGTGCTGTTTATTGCTTCTGTGTTTGGGGCAGAAAGGGCCAACACCAGTGACATGCACAGAGGAGGTCCTGGGGCCAGCCAGGCGCTCCAAGCTCTGCCTTGGTGTTGGAGGCTGCCCAGGTGGGCCCAGGCCCAGGCACCCAGCCTTCCCCAGAACAGGCCCCAGAGATGAGGGCAGAGGTCAGGAAGGCACGAGTGACTCCAGCCAGGAGAGCTAGCTCCCAGGGCCCTGTGTGACCCTGCGGCAGTGGGGAAGGAGGAGGAATCCCTGTTTCCCCAGGGCCCCATGGCCTTTGCTTTTATGATGGCTGCCACTGGGTCTGCGTGCTCTGGCGTGGGCTTGCGAGAGGGACCAGACCCTGGGCCTTACCACCACCCCTTACCACCTCCAGGGGTGTTCCCTTACGCACACACGCCACCCCTAAGCCCCTCCCTATGGGGCTTCAGTCCTGGCAAGAAAGTGAACCTTCAGGACCCACGGCCCCTGTGTGGGCCACCCACAGCTCTCACTGTCCGCAGCCCGGCTGGATGCCTCCTGGGGCCTGTGGCAGCCCAGCCTGGGGGAGTAGAGAACAGTCGGAAGAGACCTGAGGAGATGCTTCGTAAAATCTGAGCTCACCCTTCATGGAGACCTCGAGTAGACAGGCACACCCTAATCTAGACAGAGGTCTGTCAGAAACGGGCGGTGAGGGCACGCGGAAGCCTCCCACACCACAGGCTGCCCAGAGCTGCCGCCAGCAGCGTCCTGGCCCTCCTCACCACGTCAGGGGAGGAAGAGCCACAACTGCCACTGTAGAGCTGCCTCCCAAAATGCTTAAAAGAATCACCTGCAATCTGGTCCACTGCTTAGTGCTGTCCATGCTCCTATAGAGACCGGTGCTCTCCCCCAAACCGGCCCGTAAGGTCAGTGTAATTCCAGCAAGCCTCGCTACTTCCAGGATTCAGGTGTGAAGCTCATGAGTCCTGAGACAGCGCTGCTGGCCATGGTGATGGGCTGGCTGGGCACCAGCACTGCGCAAGGCACTGGTCCCTCCAGATTCCCCAAGGTCTTGGATTCATTGTGGCATTCCCATTGCTCAGTGTGCGCACCAGAAACACCCAGGCACGTAGGAGTTTAATGTGTGGTAAGTGTTTTTAAGTGGGGAAGAGATGGATTATTTAACAAATAGTACCTAGAGCTGGGCGCCAGTGGCCACACCTGTAACCCTAGCTGTTCAGGAAGCTAAGATTCATGGGTCATAATTTGAAGCCAGACTGGTCAGTAAATTCCATGATTAACCAGTAAAAATGCCAGACTGGAGACAGGGCTCAAGTGGGTAGCACACCAGCCATGAAAAACCAACGAGAGTTCAAGCCTCTCTCCCAGCACGGAAACAAATGGTAGAAGGGAAAAAAATAAGAGTAGAACATTATATAAGAAAATACAATTTCGCTGACGCAAGAAGGTCTCTTCTAAGCATAACATGGAACCTAAGTGACACAGGAGAAAATAAACACTACCACAGAGTCCAGGCCACAGTGTCAGCGAAGGGAGGGGATGCCTGCCTCAGTCCCCACGGAGTCACCGGCGCTGCCGGCTGCCACCTGCACTTTCAGTGGCAGCTGCGCCCTGTGTACCGTGGGGACCGAAGCCTGACCTTCGTGCGGTGGGAGAGACCACTGCCCCGCCGAGCCTGGGCCCTGGCAAGCAGGCAGCCTCGAGCCACAGCCCAGAGCCCCGAGCCTGTCAGTAAAGAACGTGGTGTGCTGCTCAAGGATGGATGATTGTAATCAAACTACAGGGGAGATTCAGAGCCATCTAGAAAAGATCAGAATAAAGGATGTTATCTCCAAAAGTCTTAGATGTGTGGTGACATCCTTGGTGTGACGGATGGATAACGGGATTGCTGAGTGAAGTGTGTGGTAAGTTTCCATCCTGTCCTGACGGGGAGCTGGGGTGGCCGCCGTGTTCGGGGCAGAGCTTGCCTCAAAGGACAGGACCGGAGAAGACATTCCTGGGTTTGGACCAGTCGCTGGCAGTGGGAGCAAAGTAATCTTGCGAAGGAGCACCAGAAGAGGGATGGTTTGCACAGGGGCCTCCTGTGCCACGGTAGGCATTCGCAGCTGGAGACTGCCGTGGTCCGGGAGATGGGCAAGATTACTTTGGCTCCTGACATTTTGTCCCTAGTGGGACATAAGTTGAACTGAAAGAGTTCACATACTTCAGCAGCCAGACACTGGAAGCCTTGGGGGTCCGGATGAGCACTGCTTAACATTTGGAGTGACAGCTGAGGCGTGAGACTCGGCATTGGGTGGAGGAGGGGATGCTGTCTTCTCGAACTCACGTAGGTCCCAATGTCCAGTACCATAAGAGGTGGGCCTTTAGAACTCACTGGAGACAGACTTCATCTGAGCAATGAAGAGGTGGGCAGGTCCTGGGGAATGGGACCCAGGCGCTGGTAAAGAGTCTTCCCACCCAATAGAATTGAACTTGGTAACCTTAAGGAGGGAAATTCAGGCTCCTGCTCCTGCCTAGACAAAAACACGGCACAGTAATCCAACCCCAGGACAGCTGCAGTGTAGTCAGATCCATACGCAGTAAGCAGCACGCAGTGATTGCCAGGGTGGGCGGAGAGGCATGGGAGAGGTTCATGTGTGCAGTTTTAGTTTTGCAGTATGAAAGGGTTATGAAGAGCGAAGATGGTGGCACAGCACTAAATACACTTAGTGCCTCCCACTGCACACAAAGGTAAGGCAAGTTTCCTTATGGACGTTTTACCTTAGTGTGTGTCTTGGTCGATCGGTCAGTTGGTCGTGGGACTTGAACCCTGGTCCTGGGTGCTGTCCTTCAGCTCTTGGGCTCAAGGCGAGCGCTCTACCACTTGAGCCACAGTGCCACTTCCAGCTTTTCCTGTTTATGTGGTGCTGAGGTATCGAACCCAGGGCATCGTGCATGGGAGGCAAGCACTTTACCACTGAGCCACCTTTCCAGCACCTTAACACATTTAAGGGGCTAGGTGCTGATGACTCACGCCTGTAAACTATTCAGGAGGCTGAGATCTGAGGATTACAGTTCACAGCCAGCTCGGGCAGGAAATACTAGGAGATCTTTATCTCCATTTAACCACCAGAAAAGTGGAAGTGGAGCTATGACTCAAAATGGTAGAGCACGATCCACTCAAAGTGGTAGAGCACTTGGTAGAGCACAGAAGCTCAGGGACAGCTCCTGGGCCTTGAGTTCAAGCCCCATGACTGACAAAAAACAAAACAAAAAGCCTTTTAAGGGGCTGGGTATTATGATCAGTGGTAGAGTGCATGGTTCAATCCCCAGTACAAAAAAGCAAGCAGAAGGAATAAGGATGGTTTGCAGAGCACAGTGGCACGAACCACTCAAGACCAGAACCGGGGAACAGCCTGGGCACAGCAGGAATGGAGAACCCACCCCTTAATTTTTTCCTGATGTTTTATGAAACAAGCACCTCATGACAGACTTCATGTTTGCATTCTAAAGGTGCAGCCGGAAATCCCAGCCGAGGCAACAGCAGGATCGAGAGTTCAAAGCCAGCTTGGGCTGCACAGGGAGACTTGGTTTCAGAGAGCAGAAAAAATTAAAAGAATAAAAGGTAGGGAGGTGTTTATTAAATGTCCAAAATTCATAATGTAACATCTAAACCTCATCTCAGCTCTCTGGGAAGTGCAAATAGGAAGCAGGCAGGGGCATAAATGTGAGACTGTGTTCCACAACTAGGAAAACAAAGGGGTACAGGGGTGTAGTTGAAGGGGGAGAGTGCCCACATGGCAGGTTTACAGCCCAGAATTCAAACTCTAGTACCACTGAGAGTGGAATGTGGAGCAGGGGGCTGGTGGCTCCCGCCTGTCATCCTAGCTACTCAGGAGGCTGAGATCTGGAGGATCGCAGTTCAAAGCCAGCCGAGGCAGGAAGGTCCATGAGACTTTCTCCAATGAGCCACCAGAAAACTAGTTGTGGCACTGTGGCTCAAAGTGGTAGACCACTAGCCTTGAGTGAAAAGGCTCAGGGACAGCACCCAGGCCCTGAGTTCAAACCTCATAACTGAAAACAAAAAAACCTAGGACATAGCATGCCACTTTGGTATAGTTTCTCCTGAAACTATTTTGCATTCAAAGTTGGGTGACTTGTCCTCCCCCCCCCCCCCACGGGACCACGTGTCCAAGCATTCCCTCCCAGAGGGCCCTTCCCCAGGCCCCACTTACCTCCCCGGGGAGAAATGAGATGCCAACTGTGGCACCCTTTTCAATCATGTTGGCGTTTATTCTGGCCAGTCCCGGGGTTTGAACTCTGGGTCTGGGCGCTGTCCCTCAGCTCTTCAGCTCAAGGCTAGCGTTCCACCACTTGAGCCACTGAGCCACTCTGGCTTTTTCTGTGTATGTGGTGCTGAGGAATGGAACCCAGTATGTCACGAATGCTAGGTAAGCACTCTACCACGGAGCCACATCGCCAGCTCTTCAACCATGTTAATAGGCACCTGAGTGTCACAATCTGACCTGACAACCACACAGCCTGTCTCCCGGAGCACGCCAGGCTCAGAGGGCTCAGAGCTTCAGCTTGGCACTCGAGGGCTGGAGCAGCAACAACTCCCATCTTCACCCACAAGTGCTTTTATTCTCCAAATGCCTTTGTGATCAGCCTTTATAGACGCCTCAGGCCCGCCTTACAGAGTAGCAAACGCCTGACACTTGGGAAAGGGCAGCAAATGCAGCTCAAGGATGGGGTACACCTGAGACGCCCCTCCCCCCACAGTGAGGAACCCTGGATGCCTTTAGTCTTGATGTCCGAGCTGAGTGAAGGCACTGGGAAGCTGGGGTGAGAATCGGCCCGGCGTGGCCAGGCTAGGTCCCCGGCCCTGCTCAGAGCGCCAGCCCACGCTCCCGGAACAGCTGCTGCAGAGCCTCCTCCAGCGGCTGGCTGGTGCCCTGCAGCCCCTTCACCACCTGCGCCGCCCACTCGAAATACTCCTGGACTCGGCTCTCTGTCCATCCTGCGGAAGGGTGGGCAGACGAGCTCGCGTGGGGTGCCCGCAGGCCTGGGGTCCCTGTGGGGCGTGGTGCAGGGCCGTGGCATGGCTTCCGGGAGTTGTGTCCCCCCGCCCCTCTGTGAAGGTTGAGGCTTGGCCCCATGGGGGTCAGTACTCATGGGGTGCAGCGTACCCAAGGGGGTGTGTACCCACGGGGCACATCATGTCCACGGGACGGGGCACGCTCACGAGTGTGTACCCCCCGGGGCGCATCGTGCCCACGGGACGGGGCACGCTCACGAGCGTGTGTACCCGCGGGACGGGGCACGCTCACGAGCGTGTGCACCCGCGGGACGGGGCACGCTCACGAGCGTGTGCACCCGCGGGACGGGGCACACACGAGCGTGTGCACCCGCGGGGCCGGCCCCCAGCGTACCCACGGGGGCGCAGCGGCTCAGGTCCCGCAGGTTGTGCAGCTTGTCGGCCAGCTTCAGCAGTCGGGCCCCCGGGCTGCTGTGGGGCGCGCGCTCCACCTGCAGCCGCTTCCGCTCGGCCTTGGGCAGCGCCTTGTCGTCCGTCACCTCCTCCACCAGGCGCCGCACCTGCGCCCCGAAGCGCAGCTCCAGCTCCTCCGGGGTGGTGTCCGTGTCCTCCACCGTGTCGTGGAGCAGGGCGGCCTGGGGACGGCCCGGCTCAGCCCGGGCTCAGCTCAGCCCCGCCCCGCCCCGCCCCGCCCCGCCCCGCCCCGGTTACCTGCAGCACCGCGGTGTCGGTGACGCCGGCCTCGAGCGCCAGGATCCGGGCCACGCCTGGGGGCGGAGCGGGGCCGGGTCAGCCCGGGGGCGCCGCTCCCTCCCCCGCGCCGCTGGCCGACCCCGACCCTCCCCCCCCCCCCCGACCCCTCCCTCCCCCTCCCCCACCCCCACCCCCCCCCCTCCCCGCGCGCCGGCCGACCCCTCCCTCCCTCCCCCCCCCCCCGCGCCGCCGGCCGGACCCCTCCCCTCCCTCCCCCCCCCCCCCCCCCCCGCGCCGCCGGCCGGACCCCTCCCCTCCCTCCCCCCCCCCCCCCCCCGCGCCGCCGGCCGGACCCCTCCCCCCCTGCGCCGCCGGCCGACCCCTCCCCTCCCCCCCGCGGCCGCCGGCCGACCCCTTCCTCCCGCCCCCCCCCCCCCGCGGCCGCGCGCCCACCGATGGGGTGGTTGATGTAGGGGGTCCCCTCCGGGTCCTTCCGTCGCTGCCCTCGGTGCTTGCGAGCCGCGAAGTCGGCCGCCTCCAGCAGCCGCGCGGCCTCGGAGCCCATGGCGGTGGCGCGGGGCTCGGGTCGGGTCCGCAGGGCGCCCACAGCGCCCCCTCGCGCGCCGGAGGCCCGGCCGGCCGCGGTCACGGGGCGGCGGGCCTGGCCCCAGCTCCGCCCCGCGGCGCGGGCGCCCGGCCTGCCCCGGGCTCCGAACCCGGCCTGCGGCGGGGAGGCCGCGGCTGGGGCTCGCAGGCGGCCGCGTTCCTGAGAAACTGCACTGCGGGCGGAACCCCAGACCCGGGGTCGCGGCCACTGTCTGCCACACCACCCCAAGTGCTAGTTACAGACACACACGCGTGAATCCGAGAGAAGGGCTGAGTGCACCTGGGCCAGTGGGAAAGACAGTCCGGGCGGCGGGGGTGCTGGGCGGCCGTGGTCATCACAGGACTGGGTGGATGCGAGCGTGTCACAGGACTGGGTGGTCGTGTGTCAGGACTGGGTGGTCGTGTGTCAGGACTGGGTGGTCGTGTGTCAGGACTGGGTGGTCGTGTCACAGGACGGGGTGGTCGTGTCACAGGACGGGGTGGTCGTGTCACAGGACTGGGTGGTTGTGTCAGGACTGGGTGGTTGTGTCACAGGACTGGGTGGTTGTGTGTCAGGACTGGGTGGTCGTGTGTCAGGACTGGGTGGTCGTGTCACAGGACTGGGTGGTCGTGTCACAGGACTGGGTGGTTGTGAGTGTCACAGGACTGGGTGGTTGTGTCACAGGACTGGGTGGTTGTGTCACAGGACTGGGTGGTTGTGAGTGTGTCATAGGACTGGGTGGTTGTGAGTGTCACAGGACTGGGTGGTCATGTCACAGGACAGTGTGGTCTGTCACAGGACTGGGTGGTCGTGAGTGTCACAGGACTGGGTGGTCATGTCACAGGACAGTGTGGTCTGTCACAGGACTGGGTGGTCGTGTCACAGGACGGGGTGGTCGTGTCACAGGACTGGGTGGTTGTGAGTGTCACAGGACTGGGTGGTTGTGTCACAGGACTGGGTGGTTGTGAGTGTCACAGGACTGGGTGGTTGTGAGTGTGTCATAGGACTGGGTGGTTGTGAGTGTCACAGGACTGGGTGGTCATGTCACAGGACAGTGTGGTCTGTCACAGGACTGGGTGGTTGTGTCACAGGACGGGGTGGTCGTGAGCGTGTCACAGGACTGGTCAGGTGGACAGTTGGTGTTAGGCAGAGGCCCCGGCCTCCGTGGCTTCCATCTCCCCTGGCCCGCTGCTGGGGTGGCTCTGGGCAGGAGGCGCACGGTGATCATTACTCCAGGACGCAGCGATGGCAGTGCAGTGCAGTGTGGGGCTGGCGTGTGAACTCTGGGCCTCCACTGCCACAGCTCAGTCTCCCCCAAGCTGTGTGGACGTGTTTATCAGGGCATGTGGGGTGACAGACTTTCCTGTCCGGTTGTCGGACAGACGTCCTCTGCTCACCCTGTCCTTCCTGGGGTACCAAGGCGACTGCGTAGGGGAGGGGCTGGAGGTGAGCGGCCTACCTGGGACTTCACTAAGCTTTTGGGCCAGCGGGATTCAAAGCTCAGCCTCCCGGGTGGCTGCCTGATCACAGGCCCGGCCCTGCTCTGCTTCCTGCCGTTCCCGGGAGTGGGGACGCCCGGCCCGCTGTGGGCCCCTGGGGGGCTGAGTCTTGTCCTGTTTCGGGGGGGAGGTGACCTTGGGCCTTCTGGAGGAATTGTCCGAGGGAGACCGCGGGGTGAGGGTCGGCGTGGCCCGCGGGAAGGTACCGGGCCAACTCCCGACTCTGGGGTTGGGCTGGGAGCCGGGAGCCCGGGCCTGGGGGAGCCAGCGGCAGGGCCGACTTGGCTTCCAGGGAAGCCTGTTGCCCGGGAGCAGGCCGCCGCGGGGGTCCCTGGGGCTCCGGGCTCCCAGCAGCCCAGGGGTGGGGAGGGCGTGGAGGAGAACTTCTCCCGGAGCTGGGCCCCGCCGGGAAGCCACTGCGCCGGGCCGGGGCTGCGCTGGGGGGCGGCGGGCTGGCGCGGGCCGGGCTCGGCCTCGCACGCTGAGCAGGACGGAGGCTGCGATCCCGAGGCCGCGGGCTGGGCGGCGGCGGCGGCGGCCGGCCGGGCTGTGCGCGGGCCTCCTGCTGCTCTTCGCGGGGGCTCGCCTGGCCCAGCCGGCCCCGCTCCCAGGTACCCGGAGCGGGGTGCGGGCCCGGGGGGAGGGTGCGGAGCGGGGTGCGGGCCCGGGGGGAGGGTGCGGAGCGGGGTGCGGGCCGGGGGGAGGGTGCGGAGCGGGGTGCGGGCCCGGGGGGAGGGTGCGGAGCGGGGTGCGAGCCGGGGGGAGGGTGCGGGCCCGGGGGGAGGGTGCGGAGCGGGGTGCGGGCCGGGGTGCAGGGCGGGGTGCGGGCCGGGGGGAGGGTGCGAGCGGGGTGCGGGCCGGGGGGAGGGTGCGGAGCGGGGTGCGGGCCCCGGCGGACCCCCCCCCAGCTCGTCTCCAGCCCCGCGTCTCTCCCCAGCGCTGGCCCACCACCCCCACTTGTGCCAGACCAGCCGGGACGCGGACGGCCGCCGCCACCCGGGCTTCTTCTGCCCGCGGCTCTCGGACCCCCCCGGAGGAAGCCTTCTGCTGCCCCCTGCGGGCCGCGGGCGGCCACTGCTGCACCCGCGCCGAATTTGAGGCCCTGCACCGGCTCAACCTGTCCTCGCTCGGGCCCCCGCCCGTGCTCAGGTGAGCCGGGGCCCCGGCTGCGGGGCTACGGTGGGAGGGCGCCGCACGCAGCCGCGAGGGCCAGGCCGACCGCAAAACCCCGCGCGCGGCGGGGGGCCGGCGCGGGAGGCGGGCGGGGGGCGGGCGCGGGCGGCGGCGGAGCGCAGGCCCGTCCTCCCCCGGAGGGCCCGCCCCGCAGCGCGGCCCGACCCCGCCCCTCTCCCGCAGGGGCCCAGGCCCGCTGCTGGCGCTGGGCCTGTACGGTCTGCTGCTGCTGGCGCTGATGACCGCAGACCTCGTGCACTTCTGCCGCGGTCGGGGCCGCCCCGGGCTTCCAGCCCGGTCCTCGGCTGCGCGGCCCCTGCAGGTCCCGGCGGAACTCACCTGAGCGCGCCCGACGCGGGAGCGCGCCGGGACCCGCCCCGCCCCGCCCCTGTCCAACGCGCACGTGGCCTCGCCCCGCCCTCTACGTCGTCCTCTTCGCTCCGCCCCACGCAGCCCATCGACACCGCCCTCTCCGCGATGCACTCCGCTTAGCCCCGCCCCGGCCCCTCCTTGGCCCCTCCCCTCCCCTGATGCGTCCTCTCGCTGGCCACGCCGCTTCCGACGCAATCTCTGACGCCGGTGGGGGCGGGGCGTCCCGCGCCAGCTTCCTGGGCTGGGGCCGCACTCGCGGCGGAGACTGCGCCTGCGTGGGCCCCGAGGTCGGCGCTGCGATGACCGTGAGTGTTCCGGGGACCCCCGAGCCCCCGCCGCCATCCCCGGGGCCCGCTCCCATCTCCGCTCGCGCCTGCCCCGCCCGAGCCCACCGCCCCTTCTCCCCAGGCCAGCTCCGTGGAGCAGCTGCGGAAGGAGGGCAACGAGCGCTTCCGATGCGGGGACTACGAGGGCGCCCTGTCGGCCTACACCCGGGCGCTGGGGCTGGGCGCGCCGCCGGCGGACCAGGCCGTCCTGCACCGGAACCGGGCCGCCTGCCACCTGAGGCTGGTGAGCGCCGGGGAGGCGGGGGCCGGGGGGCAGCCCCGCCCGCCCTCTCACGCCCGGCCTTTCTCCCGTAGGAGGATTTCCACGAAGCCGAAGCGGAAGCGTCTAAAGGTACGCGCGCGCGGGCCCTGGCTGGCGCTGTGTGCGGGGCTTCTCTGCGGGCAGACCCCGGACCGCCGCGCCGCCGCCTCTCCTCCCGTGCCCCCTGGAACGCGTCCGCCTGCTGTCTTTCCCACTTCTGCTGGGCCTTCCCTTCTCTGCAGCTACCTCACCCTTTCTGAGGCTGAAGTCCGAGCCCCACATTCGTCCCCCACCTTCCTCTGGCCCTCGAGACCTTTCCCTGCTGCTCTTGCGTGGAGGCGGTGCAGCGAGCGCCCTGACAGAGCTCCTGTTTGTGCTCAGCCATTGAAAAGGACGGAGGGGATGTCAAAGCACTGTACCGGAGAAGCCAAGCCCTAGAGAAGCTGGGCCGCCTGGACCAGGCTGTCCTGGACCTGCAGAGATGTGTGAGCCTGGAGCCCAAGAACAGAGTTTTCCAGGAGGCCCTGCGGAACATTGGGGGCCAGATTCAGGAGAAGGTGTGTGAGCGTGCCAGAGAGGTGGGTGGGAGGTGCAGACACAACCGCCCATTACTGGCGAGGAGACTGCAAATTAAGAAGCGAGTGTGGAGTGGGGACGCACACCTGCCATGCTAACTGCCAGCACGCAAAGCCCTTGAGCCCCTCAGCTCCAGTGTAACCAGCAAAATGCCAGGGTGGTGGAGGCATGGCTCAGGCATCAGTGCAAGCCACGCAACAGGCCCTGGGTTCAAACCGTGGGACTGTGGGAAGGGAGGGGGAAGGACACTGCCTTTAGCATTACTAGGGGCCCGGATGATCAAGCAGGAAGTAACTCAGGAAGAAAACAGCTACCAGGAGCTTAGGGCAAGTCTCTTCCTGCCCTGGTGCTCCTTGCTTGCCGAGCCCAGGCCTCCTCATGGCCTTATAGAGCCAGGAGCCAGAGAACCGCGAGGAAGGGCGATGTCTCCGCCAAGGGATGACGTCTTGCCTCCTTGGTTTGTCCTAGGTGCGGTACATGTCCTCGACCGACGCCAAGGTGGAACAGATGTTCCAGATCCTGCTGGACCCCGAAGAGAAAGGCACTGAGAAGAAGCAGAAGGTACAGGCCAGTTCTGCTGCACAGCACTCATCTGGTGCTTTGGGGGCCATGGTTCTTGCATGGACCACGGTGCTGTGCAGGTCAGGAGCTTCGGGGCTGAGGTTTTGGTGGGGCCCACAGGAAGGGAAGCAGGTTCACAGCACCTCGCCACCCAACTTGTGGGTGGAGCTACAAGGCACTGCTCCGGCCCTTCAGGCTCTAGTGGGGCTTAGGACCCCATTTGGTCTGATAGCAAGGTCTAGGGTGCACGGT